CAAGGTTGTATCATCTGCATATTGCAGGTTGTTAATGAGTCTTCCTCCAATCCTGATGCCATGTTTTCCTGGTGTTCATATGGTCGCTATAAGTTGGAACCGATTCAATGGTACCTGACATCAGAGAGAAGTGAGAGGAAGTTGGCAATGGCAGTGGAAGCCCATTTTATAGGCAGCTGGAAATGTATTAGGTCAGAAAAGCGATTCCCATGATAAAACACACAAAACTGCTGTTGCGAACTGCTTCATTGGGATTCCAAGGCTGTGATTTTTATGGAAGTAGACTGCCTCGGTTTTCTCTCTTGGAGTGGCTGGTGGGTTTGGACTGCTGACCTGTTGGTAGGCAGCTGAGCACTTTAGTCACTTTGCCACCAGGGCCCTAGTTCACATGACAGTAGTTCCCAATGCCAACTGTGAGTTCTCCCACCCCTAGGAGACAGCGAGACCTCCGATGCTGTCTTCTGAGAGTGGCTGTAAGATCCTCACCATCCCCAGTCTGGAAGTAGGGCATGGAAGGATTCCTGAAACGTGTATGGAATTGGAAATGACTTGGACAAATGATTATTTGCAGATTCGACTCCATCGGGTCTCGGCGTGCCCTGTCAAGTGCTTCCTCTGGGTGTTTCTGGGCACCCTGCCTGCAGCTGGGATAGTAACAGTGGGGAAGGGGAACCTAGGTCTGCTTTCAGGGCAAGACTAAAATGCCAGCGATGAGAGAACGTCAGGCTCATGGGAGGGTGGGAGTGGGTAGGTCATGACAGGTGTGGAGAAGGTGTGGGCAGAATGGCTGGGAGAACCAGGAAAGGCTGGGAGTCACTGGCCCCCTTTTTGGGTTCCCATACTTTTCTCAGCAAAGTACACCATTTTCTTGTAATTTCAGGAGGTTTCAAGGCTCCTCCCCTCCATCACCATCTGTCAGTTTATCTTTTGTGATGGTTTGCAAATTGCTACATGGACTCCTGGTGTGGGGCTGGAGGATCAGCACTGGACTGTTAACCATTAGTCAGGACTTCAAACCCACCAGCATGTCCTTGGAAACCCTACACAGGGTCACTATGAGTCAGTACTGTCTCGACAGCACTTAACAACAACATGATATGGTGCTGTGGGATAAGCATTGGACTGTAAACCATAAGGTTGGTGGTTCAAACCCACCAGTTGCTCCTTGGAAACCCTAACCAGGTTCACTATGCATTGGAACTGCCTCAATGACCCTTAACAACAATGCAGTGAAAGTGTTCCACTAGTAACAGAAACTGACGTTTGAACCCGACAGCCGCTCTGAGGGGAGAAAGACGAGA